TTATATGAATTCTTCATCCTTTTCAATCTTATGTTGATAATGAAAGCTAAACTGAACCTAGCTCCTACTGCTGTAACGATTAAAGTGGGTCGCTGTCTTAATCTTAGGCTGATTATACACAACTTGTCATATTGAACCACTGAAAAGGCAGTTTTGTTTGACGTAAATTAACCTCCTACTACGAGCCGTTGTTAACACAACTGTAAAAACTTTTCGCCCTCAAGAAATGCATGTCATTTGAAGAGGAAAGGAGAAGTTCTGCTGCAACAGGTAATTTTAACAGGAGCGTCAAAACTCATGATTTTGACAAGAACATTCATCTTAGCAACGAATTCGTTATCCTTTACTGATCTTTGCTTATTCGGTGGTTCGACTTAGGTATAATGCAGGAAACGTACACAAAGAAGTACTTTTTCGGGCTTTGAAGTTTACTGAAATAGAAGCGAACACACACGCACACAAATATATGTCTTTTTTTTTGAGTGCATTTCTGTGACCGGATGGGGTCTAAAATTGCAGGGTGAGACTCAGAACATTCCTCACGTTTCCGTTTTGGCTGTTTCGGAAGCGTGGTTATGATTCCTGTACCATAACCAGCTACCTGTTGGACTGCGAATAAAGCACCACACGCGATAAAACATACTTTTCTGGTAGACTGGGACCGTAGGATAATCTGTAGTGTTGCGTGTCTTATCCTGTAATTTACTCAACAGTTTGATGACTAGGTTACAGCATTTAATAGAATGTTCACAACATAAGTCTCTAAAAACTTTGCGAAAATCTGAAAAATTTTTTCTTTGAATGATGACATTTCAAAAAATTAATTTCTGCCTCAGTTTTCCTTGCACTTCGACTATAAAAACGGGTGAACACCTTTTAAGTTGCAAACTGCCGGTCGATCAAAAATAATTACAGAAACCCGCTATAAGTGAACGAAATTACACCCTTCCAAAAAGTTATTTAAAAAAAAAAAAAAAAAAAAAGCACTGCATGTTCTTTAC